ATAGTGTAAAGGCGAATTCTTCGCCTAGCGCCCCTACCCCCATCCCAAATGATAAAACCCTAAAAATAAAATAAAATAAAGAAAATGATGTGTCATCTTTCGATGACATTCCACCGGGACATAGGGAATCGACGTTCCCAGCGGAGATCAGATTTCCGAAGTAGACCGATTCCCTCGTTCCCAGACTACCTATCCTCCCGCCGCTCTTCCCACCGATGAGATCTACGATGGACAAATCCCGTCTTTCATTCCCATGCCAAACATTCTCAATCCCAGTTGTCGGAGATTGTTACTCATGATATTGCTTGCAGGCAGAGCGGTATATAAGCTTGAGGATTCGATGTTCGAAATCCGCGTTCACCTGCTTACGGCAGTGCCGGCTGACATGCTTCGTCTGTGCTCTACTTCGTTTTGCCTGTGATCTACTTCGTTTCGTCTGTGAACTACCTAATCCTGGGCTCGTGCGCCTGTAACTGGTGTCATGTGTAATAAAACTTGTCCTACTTTAGTTTGACCCGACACCTTTCAGGGATAGTTCGATCTACTGACATACGCGGTACCTAGACTTAGATAATCACAGTTTTTCTGTAGCCAAAAACTTTCTCTGTTGGACTTCTGTTTTCTATCTTCTGCGGTTTTGAGGACGGCAGTTTTAAAAAATTGCTTTGAGATCTTAACATCAGAGCTCAAGACATATAATGATTTTATAGTCGGTTTTCCACCAGACAACTAGAAAGTGGCAAAAAATCCGCTTATGGTATTACTTATTTTTCCCAATTTTCGCATTTGTAATTCAAAACAATAGCGTTACATGGCATTTGCTTCACTGCTTTTCAAGCGAAGAGGATGAAATTGAGGAGAAAATAGTAAGCAGAGGAATTCAGAAGAAACAAAAAAAGGTTAGTCTAGAATTTCCCATATTACAGTCGGCATATCCGCTGTCTTTCTATGTTTTTGTTTCCTTCTAATTGCTACTTTTGTATCCCTCTGGTTGCTTTTATTGCCTGGATTAACGGTTTTTTTGCATCCGGCTGACCGAGACGCATTGGGAATTCATGAGTTCGTTGCTTCCTCTATTTGATTTTCGAGTCGTCGAAAATTCTCTCCACAGTGCCGGCATCTTTCGGTATCACATCATAATAAAATACCTGGACAATAATTAGCAATTTCACCTGACAGGTGCAGCGAGACAACAAGTGCTCGAATGGAGTTGGCAGATTCATTCTCATCGCGATCAAAGAACTTAGGGAAGATTTTGTAACTGACATTTTTACTGATTTAAATTTTATTTTCTCTAGAAAAGACAAAAAAAAAGGCTCCAAATGAGTGACTTTTGCAGGTGTAGTGGAAAATTGACTTAGAGTGGGCAAATTCGCTCCCTGTGACTAAAAAGCATATCTGTCAAAAAAGCAATGTGACAACCAAGCGCTTGGTAATATGTTTTATAACAGGAAAATACTAGGGCAATGGTATAAGGATCCACTATTAGTGATAAGGATATTAATTATGATATATATTAAAATATAATATGTTTCAATCCATTAAGTCGCAGACTTTTCTATCCAGCACCAAAACTAGACTTCGTCAGTACGGTGGTTTTGGTGTTGATGAAATAAACAGGTAAAATGAAATGAATTTGGGTTGCTCGCATACGCCGGGTACAGCTATGTCAAGGCTTTAAGGACCTGAACTGCCTATTTCTAGTTAGCGCCTAATATATTGTACAGACGCTGAAAAATTTCAATTTTTGCAGATAAGAATTTTAAATTAAAAATAATTTATTAAAACAATGGCAAATAACAGTGAGGAAGGGATGACATGTCATCTCCACGCTAACCATATGAGTTATTGAGACTACAAAAATAATGACAGGTGCAGGCTTA